TATTTCACGCTGAAGGTAGAATACCTTCATACATCAACTATCCCTCATCATATATATTCAATACTGGAGACCGATGGGTAGCCGTTTACATTGACGAATTTCATCGGGGTGAATATTTTGATAGTTTCGGTTTACCTCCACCTTACAAAATATTTCTCTTCATTCAAAATGCTACTGAAAAATGGAGTTACAATCGACATCGAATACAGAGTGAATCATCAGACTACAGTGGATACTACACTTTGATGTATCTGATCCATCGATCTTCTGGGCAAGACATTGAGGGGTTTACATCATTATTTTCAGACTGCACAGACGAGGAGAAAGATAAGCGTATCGGTGATCTGTTTTCAAAAAGCTTTAATAGTTCAAAAATTAAGTCAGTAAAACTTGCTGTAGAAAAAATGAAATCTTTATATCATAGGATGGAAAATAGAACCATGTGGAAATAAAATAGTTTTCATTTATATTTTTTCGTTTATTATTTATATTCCCTTGTGTACTACTTATAAGATTACATAAGAATTTAAGAATGCCGATCAATCTCATTTCTGCATAGAACGTGGTAAGAGAAGGTTATCTCATAATAATGAAGGTGATTAATCAAAAACAAAAATTAAACATTGAAAGTTTTGATTTAAAACCGGTTGATAATAGACGAAGACATAGTGGGCTCCTTCCAAATCAAATCAGATGTTTAATTACAGGACCATCATCTTGTGGGAAAACTGCTGTGATGTTAAGCCTAATTACAGATCCTAATGGATTAAAATTTGAAAACATATATGTTTACTCAAAGTCCTTATATCAACCAAAATACCAGTTTTTGGAAAACGTTTTAAAAAATGTAAAAGGAATTGGTTATTATAAATTCTCTGAAAATGAAGAAGTAATTCAACCTTCTGAGGCTAAGAAACACTCGGTGTTTGTGTTTGATGATATAATATGTGATACGCAAAACAACGTAAGTGCATTTTTTAGTATGGGTCGACACAAAGACGTGGATTGTTTTTATCTTTGTCAATCTTATTCCAGAATTCCGAAGCAGTTAATTAGAGATAATGCTAATATGATAATTGTTTTTAAACAGGATAATAATAATCTTAAACATGTTTATAACAATCATATTAATCCCGACTTAACATTTACGGAATTTGTAGATATGTGTCAAATTTGTTGGAATAAAAAATTTGGATTTTTCGTAATCGATAAAGAAAGTGATCTGAACAATGGTAGATATCGCAATGGGTTCGATAAATTTTTTATAAGGTAATATTGTATGTGATACCACACAGTCTTCATCCAACTTCGAAAGGAAATGGATGTTAAAAAGGAGTTAATCAAAACAAGTAATACGGTAAGAAAAAAATATTTAGCACTGAAACGAGGTATTGTGGATGAAGAAGAAATATTCAAAAAGAAATTTAAACCTATCGTCGATCCTATTAGTGAAATAGTAAAAAATATTGAAGAGAAAAAGAAAAAAAAGAGTGACAAGAATTCATCAATTCTTGATAGTGAACAAACTCCGTCGTCATCACTTAAAGTTATGAATGAAAGCAAACCTTCACAAATTCAAACCAATGAATCATTATCAGAAGAATCGGATTCCAATAGTGAACATGATGAAAACGAAGAAAATTTTAACGATTATATCAATAAATCTATTAACGATAGTAAAAATGAAATGGATCATACGTATGGTGTATATTTAGGTGATAATGATGAATGGATGATTGGAAATAGTAAAATTAACTACGATCCATCTGATAGTTTCATTAAAATAAAAGGTCAAAAATTTAAACCAACAATTGGTTTGTTGGAACTTATGTTTAAGAAGAAACCAAATAAGACACTTATCACTAAAGATGATCTGAATTCTTTTAAAGATATATTACTGCTTACAAATGCTCATTTAGTGAGACATTCTGATGGAGAGAAGGTTCAAGCTACAAATACATTTAAATACAGAAACTATATAAAAAATATTTTTAAGAAAGGGAGTGGGTTAAAAACTCCCTATTTAAAATTGGATACTTATCCATGTGCTCCAGACTATGTGCATTATGATAATATAAATGAAATTGTGGACAGGCTGCGATTATTGAAATTATCAGAGATTTCAGGTAATACTAGTCACAATAACGAAGTTATAAATATAATATCAGAGCTCAGAGATAAAGGAGTTATAGAGTAACTAATATTATGGGTATAAAAGAAGATATTGCTAACGAGTTACATAAGTCGGTAAGAAAGAATTTTCCTCGACGAAAGGTAGTTGTGAAAGGGTTTGACGACCTTTGGCAGTGTGATTTAATTGATATGACAAAATATTACAAGGTCAATAAGGGATTCAAGTATATAATCACAGTAATTGACGTTTTTTCAAAATATGCTTGGTCAAGACCTCTCAAAACTAAAACCAGTAAAGAGGTTACTTTTGCAATGGAAAACATATTAAAACAGGGAAGGGTTCCAAAAAATTTACAATCCGATTTAGGAACAGAATTCTACAATTCCGAGTTTAAAAAGTTGATGGGTGATTATAAAATTAACCACTATTCTACCTACAGCATTTTAAAGTCGAGCGTGGCAGAAAGATTTAATCGCACGTTAAAAAATTTTATGTGGAAAAAATTTACAATTAATGGTACTTACAATTGGATCGACATACTAGACCAACTAATGGACTTCTACAATACAAAGAAACATTCGACTATAAAAATGAAGCCGTGTGACGTATCAAAGAAGAATGAAATGGAATTACTAAAGACCATTTATTCATATAAACAACCCAAACTACGAATGATACCTAAGTTTGAAATTAACGACTACGTCCGCATTAGCAAATATAAAGGGGAATTCGCCAAGGGATATACTCCGAATTATTCCACAGAAATATTTCGCATCACGCAAGTAGTTCCGACAGAACCCGTCACTTACAAGTTGGTAGATGCCGAGAACCAACCCATTGCCGGAGGATTCTATCAAGAAGAGCTAACTAAGGTTAAACATAAAGACGTTTACTTAGTCGAAAAGATTCTCAAGAAGAAGGATGATAAAGTGTTTGTAAAATGGCTTGGTTTTCCTTCGTCCAAAAACTCCTGGATTCAAAAAGATAATATTGTTTAACATGATATATAATAGACATTTTTTATACTGTAGTACTACTGCTTATTGTGAATAAATATATACTAAACTCAAAAACATTTCTTTTATTACATATATAAATTACAATTAAATATAGTAAAAATAAATTATCCTAATATACTTACCTTCGTCAGTCCCGAACCCGGTCCCGTGGCGTCGAAGCCCGAGACGATAACCGCTCGTCAACCTGAAACATGACCTACACAACCTACCTCGTATCGATATCAGTATAAAGACTTGCTTCAGATTGTAAACAAATAATTGGTATATAAATTAGACATCTTATCTGTTGTTTGACTCAAATGAATTGATGATGCACTCGCAGTTATCACTATCGCATGTTTTCTGCAACGTCACGATAAGCCACGATGCAAATCCATTAAGCGCTTATCTAAATACTATACAATCTGTAAATTGTTTAACTTATTTTAAAATACAACATATGTCAGTCCTAAGATTTTTTAAACAGATGAAACTAATATTTTATATATATATTTTTTTAATCACATGGTAGTTTTTAAAATATAAGTTTCGAACACAAATTCCCAAACAAAATATGTCACATATTTGTGGAAACAACCTCAACGTTAAATGATATACGAGCGCATGCCATAAAATCGCTTGCGATTCCACCATAATCGTTTTTAAATTAGTCTATATAAACATATTATTTATCCATTATTCCTTACATCAGGCTAACAATTAAACACTCTATTTACTCCACGCATTTGGAAAACTATCTACACTCAACACTAATTGACAAAAGCGACAAGCGTTTGCGAGTTAATCATCACCACCTTAAAAATCAAAATGTTAATTTAAATATTTATAATACATCTTGTCACACCTGTACCCTCCACGGTGTCAGCTCTCTCGTCCGTCCACCACGACACACCACCGACACCTTTCCCGTGTGCCAGCCTCCGCGGTGCCAGCTCTCTCAACCGTCCACCCCGACACGCCGACGGAAACTTTCGACACCGTGTGCCAGCTCTCTCACCGTGCCAGCTCTCTCACCCATGTACGTTCTCCTCGTGCCAGTTCTCTCAGCCGTTTAATAACACGGTGGTGCTAGCTCTCTCATTTTTACCCTACTATTTTGGCGTTCCTAAAAATACCAATTAAAAATACATTAATGAAAATCAGTTGTAATAACTTTTACCACCCTCATTTTTGAAAGTCAATTCTTATAAAGCACTATTAACAATCGGTTTACAGGCCTTGCACATTGAAAACCCATACGTAAATCAAGTGGGAACGGTTCAAAATAATTAATAAATAATATTTTATTTTATTAATTAAATTTGTGATATATCTTGTTGCTAAAAAATCATTTCGCGTAAATAATTGAATTCCCTGACTCTCAGATGTGACTATTCTCTCAACTAAAATACCTGGAGAAAAAAATTAGTCATTAACAGACAACAGACCTAATTACAATTAACTTATGACCAACAATTGACCTTATGAGTCAATTAAGTGAAATCCCTGGATCCATCATCCTATTTCCAAACGACTTAAAACATGACTAGTCCTTTTATTTACATTAAATTTTAATATACCTTATTTCAGAAGCATCTTTACTATTTTACAGCTAATATAACTGTTTATCGTCAAAAACTGATTTACTAATTTATATGAGTAAAAATGTATGTACAAAATAAACATTCATAAACATGATATACAAAAGTTCCGTAGGGAATAAAGGGAATATACTTTAACCATATAATTTTTTACTAATGATGGGTTATGTAAACTAGATCTTTGTAAATTGACTAGTACCATGAAGTAAATTGTAATATACTACTTACATAAAATATTACCTCACCTATGCTAGTAATTTAACTCACCTGCGCCTGACCCTGCCAATGTCCCGGTTTCGTTCACAGCTATGAAAGCTTCAATTAATACATGGGAGAGATGCATTTTGCTCCCAATCGACACATCACTAAAATCTGCCTCGTTGGTGAAAAGAGCCTTAGCTCCCATCTAAAACACAAACACATGTTACATGTTGCTTTTAAAAAACACAGCACATAACAAATTTTCAAATACTTGAAACCATAAGCTTTCTAAAGCATTTACACAGTTGGGTGCGAATTTAAAACTGACATATAGTTTGTACTTGACATATAGTAAGGTGGATTCGTAGAGGAAAAAATCTGTGCAGCGTTGTTATTGCATAAAATAAAGACATTTTTTCTTTAGCTTAAACATTGGTTAAAATATAAAGGTCAGCCGAGTATATTTTTGGACCATGAAAAAGGAACTGATTTGTTTATCAATCTAACTTCTAAAGTTATGACATGGACTAAGCCATGAAGATATCAGTTATAGTTATAGTCATTTATGCTTTTCAATGTTTTTCAGATTTACTATGATTATTTGTGACCAATATTTAAACACATTTTAACGTGTTCCCTTTCCTCCTTTTCAAACTTTAACAAACTCTTCTTCCATCAGGTTGGTGCTAGTAAACGTTTAAAAATAATATTTAATAAGAAAAGGTTGACGCATACCCTTCCCGTTGACAATTTACCGGCACACATATCATTATTATTTAAAATTTAAAGAGTTATCTTAATGCAAGAATATTGATCTGGATTATTTTATCATATTTTTATAAGATCATAAATAAGGTTTTGTAAGAAATTCTTCTATAAATTTAAGAATATATAGTCCTTTTAACTATTACGAATCTAAAATTTAAAAAAGCTACGCTACCTTGTCAAGGAACTTTAAATCTCTGTGAAAATTAAAAGCATTTGCGTTAAATTTTGGAATGGAAACCTCCATTTTCATTTCATTCAAATATTTTAAGAGGTTTTCAAGAGGCCACTCAGAGATTTTGTCCTGGAGAATAGTTAATCCTTTCTTGTAGTTGTTGGGTAGAACCATCACCATACTCCAACCTTCCTCCTGAAAATATATTTCATGTTTGTTTATGATCATTGATTGATACAATATTTATCATATAAATCAAAGAAAAAGTCCTAAAGTGTTTGTCTGTCCGGTAACGTTTAAGATCGTTGAGCCTTTTAATTGGATGGATATAATTTGTTTAGAGTCAACTATACCACATAGCTCCCCTACTGTATGATACGGAAGTTAAAAATCAAGTTGCAGAATTTAAAGATTCTTCCTAAGATTATACTGTGTGTATTCTTCCTGCATAGTGTATATTAATCCAGCACATAATCATGCATGAGTGACACCAAAAGTAACCTTAGATTTGTCAACAGGACAAAAGTTATACTTGTAGTATCAAACGTCAATAGTATTAACATTCATAACAACATTTTTTGGTGTAAATATTTATGGGATTGGGACTGTGATAGCTTTTGATTCATTCAATATTAGTAACTGTCGACGTCAGTTAATATACAAGTATGAGTTAAACTAACATACAGTGTCGTAATTATATAGTTCTGCTTCAAACACTTATTTAAAAAACTAATTGGCCTTTTAAGTCGGCCTAAAAAAAAGGAAAAATTCTTAGGAATCTTTCGTATGATCTAAGTAAAGAACTATTACAAGAATAAAAATAAAACATTTTGAAAATATAAAAAGTTCAAACTCAATTAGAAATATTCAAACGTGACATTTAGGACCTTACCTTGTAATCAATTTTTACCACTTTCGCATCAAGATTTTTATCTTCTTTATAAGCAAAGTATCCTTTCGTGTGCATCATCTTGACCTTAACCTTTTCTCCAGAAGTTAGTAAAAACTCCTCTTCTTCAGCAGGTAAAAAGCTTTTCTTCCAGGACGAATTAAATCCAGCTTTACTGAATAATTGAAGTTTAGTTGTCTTTGGCCTGGAACCTGCACATTTCAAATCACTTTATGAGTCCCTGAAGTTATTAGGGCCATATAATTATAAAAATGCTTCAGGATATATTATTGTTGAAAATAGGTTGACTAAGTTGATTAAATCCCATCGCTACAAGAACATTTGGAAACTGAACGAATTTCCCAGTTTATATTTAAACTAGTTTAGGGTAAAAGGAATAGAAAACATGGATAAAAGTCATAAACTCGTTGAGTAGGACTACTTAGATTTAGTACTATGGATAACATAGAAAGTTGAAAGTGTTGAAACAGAATTTGTAAAATTAGATAACTTGGAACAGTAAACAAAAGTGATCCTGGGTTTTAAATTGTCTTTTGGCCATTTGATGTCTACGTTAGTTATTTGTTTGTATTTGATTGTCTGCTCGTCATCAAAATTTACCAAAACCTCAAGTATAAATATCACTTGGGTTTGAAGTTTTTTTTTTTGCAAAATGTGCTGCAACATTATTTTCACAGATACTCTTGGAGAACTGAACATAACTAGTTCTTGAAAATACATATTGGTTATTTTTTATGTTGGTTAACGTGTACTATTTATTTTGTTCATAAAAATATTGAAATATAATTAAATCATACATACCAATATTATTGCAGTACTTTAGTGTAACGTCATCATCAGCACTACCAATCAGCTGCGAGGTGCCTGCAGATCCGGCTTTGAAGAATTTGTACGATGTCTCAACAAATCTTGGCGAGAGATTGAAGTTTTCTCCAGGAATCATGCATGTCCAGGTTTTGAAAGCCTCTCCCTGTGGTGGAAGAATTATAAAGTCATCGTGAGTAAATCGAGTAAGATTTAGAATTGTGGTTTGGTTTAGCAGGTAAAACCATTCACGATTGCTGGAGAGAATGTTAAACTGTTATAGGTGGAGTATAACTATATAATAACGCCTCTTAGTTAATTATCCTTCAATTTTTGTCTTGTTAGTTTATTTAAATTTCATGAATTTAATTGCTTAATCAATTTCAGCTTTTTAGCCACAGCTTGGAATTCACCAAGTGAAAAAAATAGGATAAGTGTTAACAATAAGTACGAATCATAAATATACGTATCAGTTTTTAATGCTTAATTAATCAAAGCAAGCGCATATTGAGAACTAAATAAGAAAACTATTCAATATGAAACATCTAATGAAAAATGTATTTAAACGCTACTCTGTAATAGCAATAACCCAAAAAGACAAACTTTTAGGCTTATTACTTTATAATGCCAACATTCATGTTTCTGGCCCTGAATTTTTTTCTTAAGACAATATAATAGGATTTACGCAATGTCAAATTGTCAAGATTGCTAAATTGTATCGTTCTTGTTTTAATTGTGTTTTTTACTAGTTACAAGCTTTGAGAATGTTGTCTTTGTAACGAAACATGTACTACTAAGCAACCTTGAATCGTTGAATATTTCTACGTAAAATCTATCATTGTTTTGTACATTTGTTTCGCTTACTGATTAGACTGCTAAATATTTAGCTTTTCTGGTAATACTTTTTTTGCATATGTACAAAAACTATTGTCCTCAAAGCTAACAATCGGGTTTAGCTCCGATTTCAAAACTCCTTAAATTTTTATAATCTTTAAGATACTCACAGTCAGCTGGTCCAAAAGAGATTTGTAAGATGCTGCAATTTCCTGCTTTTCTCCCTCGAGCCCTAACAAGGAGGACATATCCTTAGCTGTTTCATCCTTCGCTCCTTGGTGAAGTATTGATAATCCTAGGTGCAGGTTGAATGGGCACAGCACTGAGCTGAGCTCATTGTGGTGGGTCAATATCTTTAACAGAAGATTATGTTAATAGTTTGTACTGTCATGATAACAATATTTAAGTTTATGAAATTGTTATTTTATTCGCCACACTATTTTTAGAGAATTGATCAAGTAGAGTCAAGCTGTCAATGTAATGCTTCGAAATTAAACTTATCAGCTGTTTACCAATTTAATTGTTAATGATCAGTGGGATTAGTAGTAGTTGTCGCATCACTGTCAGTGGCAATGATGGGTTATAAAAGAAAACATAACCTATCTTAGAAGTTTTAAGTAGTGTGTGTACGCAACTAAACGACACTCGTAGTAGTTCGCAGAATTTTCTAGTCGTGTCATTAACACTATTTCTACGCCATTATTGCGTAAACTTCTATACATGTATTTCTTTTTATTTGTACTATTTGATCGGACCTAACCGTTTATATGTCAAACCGATACACCTAAGGACTAATGGCGTATACGAGAAAGAATTGTAGGTATCTTAGGCGAGTCTATTTGCATTTGTATTCGATAATTTTGTTTCCTTTTTTTCCAGTGACAAGAATAAGAAAATTGAATTATTTTAGCTACAGTGCCTTGTTTTGTAGCCTTAGTACTCGCAGTATTTCTCCGATATATTACGCCATAACGTGTGGCATCTTCAAGGATATTGTAGAAGATGCCATACATGATGAAATATTTTGGGGGAAAAAATTAATTTCTCCATGAACAAAATCTCCGAACGAAACAATGATACTAGTAAGCATTTTAAATTACTTTCAAAATAACATTTTTATCTTCGTGGCAAGATTTCTAGGTTTAGTAAACCATAATATTGTGACGAACCTAAATCGAATCATCATCTACCCCGACTAATTAGTGAATTAGTGAATTATTAGTTGGAAACTATAAGTACTAGGCTTTAGCACCTTGCAATTAAGTAAAAAAGAAAAGGTTTCTCACCTTATCGATTCTTGTTACAAACGAATTGATTGATGTGTTGACGAATTGCGAGGCGGATGCTTGAAGTGTTATAAGAAGAAGGACTGAAACAAAAAATACATTATCATATACTAGAAATCGTTATTGTTGGTTTCCCACAATTTTATAGTAGCAGAAAAACATGTTCAGCCAACTAGATTTTTTATTAAATGTTTCTTGTGTAATTATATAACTAATTTTTCCTTTACGAATTTGTGAAAACCATTTATGGACAAAAGCAGTGACATACAGAATTTATCAACGAGAGAATCATTATGTTTAAAAGCTGTTTAGTGTTCAAACTCACCTAAACAAGTGATCCCGAAACTCCTCATGATGTTTGATGGGTAAAACGATTACCAGTTCTTGACAACAATTGTCCACACAAAAATTGTTCTGCAACAGATCATTGACACTACAAATAAATATATTTTATACAAAACATAAATCTATATAATACTTAGAGGGAACTGCAATAACATTGCTATTGTTGTTTTTGTGCCATAACAGTTTATACATCTCAAATGATTGCTGATATGATTATTGTATATTTTATTTAGTCATTCACTAGTAGTTATTAACAATTTTTTTTTATTTCTTTTGCTAATTATTACACCAGAACAAATAAACACTTACTTCTTACGGATATTTATCCTAATATTTATTTGACATACCATTGTGTGTTAATAATGGCATATTTTTACGATGATCTATATGAATTATTATAAGAAACTCCTAACATCTTTATAGTTAGATTCAACCCTATTGCACCTAAACCTACTATGATATTAGTTTTTTTTTGTTTTATAAACAAAATGTCAGTTTTTCTGGGATTGTAAAATTGGATACCAACAGCAAACAACAGATTTTAGTAATTAGTAACGTCGTCTATCGTAGTTTTCTCCTATTTCGGCCTCTTTGTATCCAAAACGAACATCTGGTAAAATAACTGTTTTACATCCATTGTTTTGGTCATAAACAGAAAACCTCGTTTAATAAGCAAAGTTTTTATGCTAAGATTTCTACGAAGTTTTTATGTGGCCGTAAAACATACAAAAATATATGAAACATTATATTACTTTTCCTCCGACCATTTCTTGCTTCAGTTAGCGTTTTACATTTATTCTTGTTCAGTTATTATTAGTGTTTATATTCCGGAACTCTGAACGTTTAAAGACCTACAATTAAAAACTCCTCACTAATTATGTTTTTGAAAGTATATATTTTTATTTTGTATCTTATACTAACTATAAAGCTAAATAACGATTGAAACCAAACAAATTTGTTAGCAAAAAGTATGTTAGTTTTACCCTAAGAACTTATTATTTAACCTTATATTATCCAAACTATATCTTAAAAAATAACAAAGAATTTCATCTCAATACTTAAAACGACCACTGTGAATGGATAAGTGCTTGCAAATACAACCAAAAATCATGTTTTTTTTTAAATAACATTACAATAAATTCATAAACAATGTTAAGCCATCTTATATGTAGTTAAAATCATAATTTTGAATACGAAATACCTGTAAAGATTAAAAGACTATGTGGCAGACTTTGGATTTACTCTTAAGACATAAAATGTTTCAGTATCAATTATAATCTGTACGGGATGATAAAAACCCCTTTTAAACTTTCACAACTATAAAAAAGTTGGTTTGGTTAAAAAGAATAGATGACAGTATCCAAACAATTAAATAAAATGGTTTAGCTATTTCCAAAAACTGCAGAACGCATGTTATGGTACATACCAATCTATACGAAATGCGCAGCACACTGTGTGAGTATGACAGGAACACTGCGTTGTCAACAATATAATTAGTCAGGCCTGCGTGTGTAGCCGCGACTAATAGCGTGTTGACTAACCGTGGCCAATGGGAATAGCCGAATGAGGACACGGCACAATGACCACGTGTAGGACGTAGGTGTAGTCGTTGTAACTCTTTGATCAGTTACCGCTTCCTAGAACTAGATTATGGTCTGTATCATGGAACTTGTATATGAACTTTCGTCTAACTTGGACAGAACCGGACCTTGAACCATTGTCTAGTTCACCAGGAGGATCAGGAGACAGGTTCCATCATACATACCGTAGAGATGATTTAACAATGGCATAGCCAATATTCCTAGTTACAGCGAAGAATTAAGTTGTATTGGCAAAAGTCTTTTGTTTGTTATCGTTTACTAGAACTAAAGAAAGTTGTTGAGCATTTCCCAATAGTACACCCTACATCCCTACTTAGAGTGTATGATGTCTTGCCATTTTTTTGTATGATATCTTAAGACTAAATATCTTGCTTTTAAATTGTAGAGCTAGCAGTTATCGTTGTCACAGTACTAGCAGAGCATCCCATTTTAGTAGAAATAGATATCATTTGTAAAATGTAATTTATTTCAACAGTTGACTTACGCTTACTACGATCGTAGAATTCTACCACAACTTTCTTTCTTTTTTACTTTCTAGGTTTCTAGACCGGAATTGTACTTCAGGCTAGGTCTAAGTAATATTACTTAGTTGGTGATTTGTGGGAATTGAACCTGGTACCTAAGAGACCAAAGTCTCGCCATCTCTTCTACCACTAGACCAGCTCGCTCCCCGACTAACTATGACTATAGTGCTATTATTTTAGCTAATGATTAAATCATTTCCCAACTTTCCATCCGAAAGACTTTTCAAAGTAAAAAATAATACTTCATACCGAGGTTTTTATCAAGCTCAATCCCTGAATGCAACTGATTATAGGGCTCCCCTTCATATTTAGAGGCTGCTGGTTCAGACCCAACAGGGTTGATGATAAACTTGGATTTAATTTTCTCTGAGTTTGGGATATAATCTAGTGATGGTTATAATCAAAAGTTCAGCGTTAGGTAGTAACAAGCTGGGATATGGACCGTTCCCTCAAAAAAATCGTAAAAAATCTAAAATTTGTAAAATACACATAATACAAATGAAAATAATTTTAAATGCTTAAATCTTTTATTCGTCGGGGTAAAAGTCATATTTCCTAAATTTTCAGAAATATTTTCAATAAATAATTTTATTTTTTCCAAAATTTATTTACTAATTTGGTCGTGTTTTTTTTACTATACTATTAATAAATAATGATATTCTGTAACAGATTAATGTTAAAAATACAATCCAATTTCATCATAGAATTTACGAACAATGTCAAAAAGATGTTTTTTGAAGTTAAATAGCTTTTGTAGGCCTACCGTTATTCTGAGTATTAACACAAGAAGAAAGTACGTTGTAATATAAGCTATAGTCGTCAGGCACAAGAAACATATATAGGGTAATTTTCATCATAGACTTATCCGACAAACCTGTATCTAAAGACCTGATAAAAGAAGCTACTTCGTATTCCGACGACGCAGTTCAACCCGTCTGTTCAGGGAAACGATCAATTTCCGCAAAAAACTGTCGAGAATAGCAAAGTCTTTAAGTAATTTTAAACTAGGTACAGGAGTTAAAAATAAGTTTGTATACATTAGTTTATAAGAATGTAAAATCATTTAGTTTTGGGAATTAGGGACCTTATACATACATATTTTATGAATAAGAACTACAATGTGGCTGGTTGTAGCCCCCATAAACATTGTTTTTCTTCTAAACCACTTAAAACGCATGAGAAAATACCATTGTGACCATTTTGTTTTAATGTATACCATGGTAGATTATCTATTTTCGTTAATTAAAACGCATATTTTGCCAGTTAAATTGACATTTATTGTGTAAAAGAGTGAAAACCTTGGGAACCCTAGTCTTTCTTTGCTCACGCACAGAAATAAATGTCAACCTACATTTTAAAATCACTTATCGATTTACTCACACTTTGCTGTTTATTTACAGATTTATTCACTTAAGTAATGCTAACCCATTGAAGATATTTCCAAACAATTTATGATATAATTGTCTAGCATATTTATAGTTATGGGGGATTTTCTATCGTTCAAAACCATTTTGTGGTTTATTCTAAATATTTATCGTAAATATCACAAGGAGGATTTCTGCAGGGCCAAAGTAATAATTTAAAGAGAAAAATGGAGTCACGACCGCTGATTTGTCAGTTTCTGCCGTGCCAGGTGCTGTGACAACTACAAACAGTAGTTGTTTGTTTTGACCAATCTATCAACATAAAATATCCGTTTTAGTCTAGTACTGTGGGTGTTTACAATATAGCTAGATGGGAGAAAGAGAGTGAAAATCTTTTACATCCAAGCAATCATTATTTTAATTATACTTTATTAGAATTGATCTTGTGATACTTACAAAATGCTATTTAGGAAACGATTTTAATAAATCTGGGCATACTATTTGGAGTAAAAATAAATCATTGTTGTCTACAATCACAATAGAGAGTCACGAAGGCAAACTAAGCAGTATTGAAGATCCGAAAATAGAAATAAAAATCCCCTATCCATTTCTATTGAAAACCCAGAATATTAAAACATAGTGAAGTGGAAATTTCTGATTACATTGAAAGTACCCAGACTACTTATTCTTGGAAGGAACATATTGCTTAAGTTACGCTTTTAATATGTTTGCATAATATTACATTTTTTTATGCTTGTTAATCTTCTTTTGTATAACACAAATAGCTGGCGGCGTTATTTAGAAGCAACACGTATTACTCCACCTACAAAATATTAATTAAAATACGTTATATATGTCTAATTAACTGTCGATGAATATATAATATTCTGCAGTAGTTATTAGTTAGCTGTAATTATATTAATAAGTAAGCTGTAATTAGTTTTACCGAAGTGAAAATACAATGTGAAACTAATATAAACCCATCCAAATTTTTATAACGATGCAAAAATATATTTTTCACCACACTATGTTGTTTTTAGCTGTTGTTGTTGTACATACGTTTTACATACGGTGGCTGAAAGTTACGTTTTGCTGGCCATGCCAGCTGTCATTGTCATTTTGGGACCGGGCAGGTTTTTACATCCCTAGGGCCGCAAAATCAGCTGCCCGCTAATCGGTATCCATAACATTGCAATACAATTATTTTATCGTCACCACTATCTAGCAACAATTTATTATTATTTTTGCTGATTCCTCAAATTATTTCTTCACATATACATAAATTTGTAGTTGTGTTGACTATCAGTGTGCATTATTATTGTGGCGAATAGTGGTAATAGGGTATAGTGTGGTGAAAAAAGCGTTCGTACCACGGACCGAAATGGTTTTGCCGGCTCGAGATATTTTAAGTTGGAGACGAAGTCGAGAACTTAAAAACGATCAAGAGCTGTTTCAGTGTTTCAGTATCCATAACATTGCAATACAATTATTTTATCGTCACCACTGCCTAGAAACTATTTATTATTATTTTTGTGATTCCTCAAATTATTTCTTCACATAACCATAAATTTGTAGTTGTGATGACTATCAGTGTGCATTATTATTGTGGTGAATATTTATAATATTGTATAGTGTGGTGAAAAATAGCGTTCGTACCGCGGACAGAAATGCTTTTGCAGCTCTCGATAGTTTTTATAGTTTTTATATAAAACTATAAATCTCGACTTCGTCTCGAACTTAAAAATATCTCGAGCCGGCAAAACATAATTTTCAGCCTTAGGTACGAAATATACTATTAGAGTGCACTAACCTCATTTTCGTGTCCATAAAGCTTGGGTAAATGTTGTGAAATAAAGATTTTCCTCACAATACTCTGTTTCCATTAAACAAATATTGTTTATAACTTGTAAACATACAAATTATTATCGATGCTAAACATTTACACCAATTTCAATTCCGTAATACAAATCACAACAAGTTAATTGTATACTAAATAGTATAATATTTTAATGGCAGTGAGTGGTTATAAACAAAAACCTTATCTGTCAGAGAAAATTTGAGTAAGTGATTGTCAAGTCCTATGTTAGTGAAATTATAGAACGCATTTTTACCGTTTTTATTGTTAGGTTGGGTTATATTGAAAAATATCTCACTAGTACAAAATGCGTTTTTATACATCGTATAGCGATCTCATCATTTGTGTAGGTAATGGTGCACTATGACGTAATATTGTTAAAATGGGCAAAAGCGTATTTTCGACCCTTGGTTGTTAAAATTAAAATCGAGTTTAAAAATCACTCAATGCACTTTAATCACTTGAAGGTGAAATGTACCAACAGTCCGTTTTATAATTGATGAGGTTTAATAATCATTTTTGACAACTATATAGTTAACTCTTGAAGAATCAACGAGGATATACAGTATGATACTTCCTATACCACCAACTAACTTAAGGTAGCAGAGAAGTGGCAGAGGATAAGGTATTTAAATGCTCAACATGCGGGAAATTAACAATCTCGTTGTACCGAGCTGCAGAAATTAAGGGTCTTCATCACTATCGAAGGTTAATTTCATCAGCAGAATATTACCCTGCTGTTCTTTTAACAGCATCCTTTACTTAGATTCCTGTATATTAAAGAGTAAAAGATATTACAACAAATAAAAGACTATTATGTCGTTAAATGCCCGTTTGACTAATTTAATTAATGGTCACTAGTGTTACTTATGATGTTGTAAATTATATTTTGTTATTTAGTTATACAATCCTTAAGCATTCGATATAATAAAAGAGAATTCATACATTATTTATATAATAATCTATTCTTTACCAATACCAAGGTTTGTGGTAGAATAAAACTTCGGATGATAATATACATCAGCTGTTTTCTCGATGTTCTACATGGTTGTTCTACAAAATGTTGTTCTACATGGTTATAAGACTGGGGTTTTGAATTATGAGTTGATTATCGTCAGGCACAATCTATATCTGCTACGTAATCCCAAGCTGGCGTTCTATTTC